CCCTGCCATTCCCAGCCCCTCTCCCTGCCATTCCCAGCCCCTCTCCCTGCCGTGCCAGCCCCGGGGGAACAGCGGCGGCCCTGCCGCGGTTCTTGCCGCCCAGCAGCCGCAGGGAGACGCTTCCGCGCCGCGGATCCCGCCCCGCTCCCCGCCGCGCCCTCCCCTCGCTCACCCCCAGCCCCGGCGCTGTCCCGGGGGCCGGCCCGGCCCGGGGAGCGGCGGCTCTTACCTCCTCCCGCGCCTGGGCACCGGCGGCAGCGCCCCAGCGGTGCGAAAGCGGCGCCTCCCCGGCCGAGGCTGCGAGCGCGGCGGTCCCGCTGCCGCCGCCGGCTGCGCCCCGGCCCCGCCCGCCCAACCGGCCCCGCCAATCGGCCCCAGCGGCGGCGGCCGCGGCGGCCGAGCCTCCTCCACCGCCCCCGCCCCGCCCCTCCAGCGGGGCTCCGGCCTCCCCCTCACGCGGGAGAAGGGCTGCGGCGGGGGGAGGAGGAGGGAGGAGGCGCGAATGGCCTTGGCCGAGGCGGAGGCGTCGGGCTGGTGGCGGTGTGCCTGCACAGCGCCCGGTTGCACAGAATCACGGTTGGAAAATTAGGTTGAATTAGGTTGGAAAAGACCTCTGAGGTCAAGTCCAGATTATCACCTCACACCACCATGTCAACCAGACCATGGCACCAACTGCCACGTCCAGTCTTTCCCTAAACACCTCCGGGGGTGGTGACTCCACCGCCTCCCTGGGCAGCCCTTTCCAATGTCTCCTCACCCTTCCTGTGAAGAAATTCTTCCTAATGTCCAACCTAAACCTCCCCTGGCACAGCTTAAGACCATGTCCTCTCGTCCTGGGAGAAGAGGCCGACCCCCACCTGGCTACAGCCTCCTTTAGCTGTCGGCAGGTGGAAGCTCCGTTGCGGGGACAGCCGGGCTGTGCCTGCAGCTGCTGCCCCTGGGCTGCTCAAGAGGCCTGGGGAAACAGCGGTGACGTCTTTACGGAAAAATACATTTATAGATTCAAAACACCCTTGTGTGCGCTGCTCAGAGGTGGCCGCTTCTACGAGAAAAGCCCTGCTGCCTTCTTAAGTGACCCGTGTCCAAGTGGGAGCATAAAGAGATCATTTGCTTTGTGCTGTGCTCCTACTGACACAGTCTTTGACCTTTGACGCAATTTGGCAAATCAGATGGCTCTTATTACAAAAGCCTTTGAAACACGCTGTCCCTTCCACCCTGTGCTGTCTCCTGGGGACCAGAGTACTTGAAAACAGACACCTGAAGAGAAAAAAGAGAGCCAATGCAGTTTCAATTGGAGCTCAAGGAGCTGTCAAGTTTATCCCAGATATTTGTGAGGTAGGAAAGCTTTTGTTTTGTTGAAGTAAGGGGTTTGGTTTGTTTGTTTTTACTTCAAGAGCATTATCTCCTCTAACTTTTCTTTGTGATTAACATCACCGTGTAAAAAACCCTTTAAGACGTGATATTGGACAAATAGGCTTACAAACTGACAATTTCAATTTCCCAACTAGGAACTTCACAAAGGCACCAATGTTTCAGGAAATCAAGTTCTTTGGTCTCCTGACTATGGCTACAGACTCTTAAAAACTTGGACCTATGTATCTATATTGAGCGCTGTTATTAGGTGGCAATCCTTAACCTGTCAAAGCTGCCACTAATATTAGCATCCGCTGCAATGTCACCTTTGCTGTGTTCTGAAAGAAGCTTGATGTCAGCTGTCTCCCTTCTGTATTCAGCAGGGGACAGCTAAGCAGTCCTATTGCCTACTGCACAATGTGCCTTGACTGCAAAACCCATCAGCTTCTGGCCAGAGAAGCAGCAATAAAACCTCTCAGAGCTCTCACTGTACAGGTCTACTGGTAGATGAAGAGTTTGGGTAAGCAGGGAGCACCTACCAGATTGTTCTGGTTTCCAGTTGTGTGATGTCTCACTCAGCATTTAGAATGAAATTTGACCTTGTGAATCTTTTGGGGATGTCAACACTGTCATCTGTCACTGCAGGTTGTTTTTCCCTGGTTCCCATTTTTCTGTGGTGAGACAGAGGAAAAACAGTGCTCCATGGAAACCAGCTCTCCTGGCATTGGACAAAGAGCAGCAGATCTCCTGAGCAGAAATGACCCAGGCAGAAGTGTATCCAGACGCACAGCGATTTATTAAGAACAAAACCAGCACATTACCTGTAAAACAGGTATTGGTATTTACAGAGTGGTATCAGCAGGGGCTTCCAAGAAGTGTCAGGGTCTTGTATGATATGGAGGCACAAGTGCTGGAAGACAATTGCTGCCCCATGTAGTTTGCAGTGAAAGGCCAGCGTGGAAATTATAAATGTTCATGCTGAGCCTTTATGTGTAGTGGAACTACCCTTATATTTACAGGGGTTTGGGAGGCAAGTGGGAGGCAGCTGAAGTGGCAGCAGCATGGAATTTGAGGTGGCTGGAGAAAGGAGGCAGCAAGCGGAAGAATAGCTTTGTGAGAAGGCAGCAGGCTTGAAGACAAGGCCAGGGCACAAGAGCAAAAATAGGCAAAGGAACAGGTTGGGGCATGGGACAAGGGGATGGGCTATGGTGCAGCATTTGGTACTTGGGGGGGCCTCTGGCAGCACTCAGAGGACAGGAGGCAAAAAAAATCAGAAACCAGAAGGACAGGAACTTGTACTATGCAACATTTGTTTTTGACTGCAAACAGTTAATTTGGACTTTCTCCTTGCTTTTTTCCCTAAAGGATGAGTTAAGTTTTCTAGATTCCAGCACTCCTCATAAGGAATTTCTGCTCCTGAAAGATTATCTCCCTTGCTCTTTTCTGTCTTCCTACCTCTGATTTTGCTTCTTCGTCATGTTCCTCACCTTTCCCTTCCCTGCCACCTATTCTACTTTATTTTGTTCTCCTTTCCCTTCATGATTTGCACATATTTTTCTGTGATTATTTCTCTCCTGCTACCTCTCTTCCCTTTTTCTCTCATCCTTCTTTCCTGTGTGCTTCCATCATCGGATTCTGAAACCTTAATCAACTATCTCGAGTGACTGGAAAACAAACCAAACTACTGTGGGTCGGGGCAGGTTGTTTGCCCATGTGCTAGCAAGCTGTCCTGCCCAGCGTTGTAACTGAACACACAGCAGCTGAGATTCTTGGGTAGGTGGAAAACAAATGTCCATTTTCATCTCCATGTATTAGGTCTCAGAGCAAGCTATAAATGCAGAGCAGACTGGGTCTGAACACTGCGCTCTTCTCATCAGCATGTGCTCTGCAATGCCTGACATTACAAGTGGGAGAACTTTTACAACTTTCTATCCTCATAAGTAAAGAATTTTTTCCCTTATGGCACATTTCTAGCTAATTATCTCTCTAGCAGATCAGAAGAGACCAGAAAACATCCTGTGGCTACGGTGAAGGGAAGTAGCCACTGTCTTAACACTGACTTTCAAATAACTGGCAGCAGCTGTGATTTCTCACAGCACTTTTCAGAGGCAGCCCTACATAGTCAGGCGAGCTACTGTGGGAAAGGTGTGCATGGATGCTGTTGTATGCTGAGAAACTCCGCAGGCTCTACCTGTTGCTGTCACCAGCTGGCCTGGCTCTCCTGTTCAGGTGCCATGGAGCTGTCAGTGAGGTCCCTGTCCACTTCGCTGTCACCCTTATCCCAGCTTTGGTGGAGCAGCCATGCTTCTCCTTGCTGACATACACTGCACACAGTCCTCAGGCTGTGGGTGAAAAGCAGCTTTCTTCTTCCTGGGAAATGTGCTTTTTGGCACTCTTGCTGGGTACTGTCCTTGCATAAATAATCATAGTGTTAACATTGAAACATGACTAAGCAAGCTGGTAGGTGTTCTGATTAGAAACAAGAAATAGAAAAGCAAAACCCTATTGGTTTTGGCACTGTTCAAATGATGTGCAATGCCTAATTCTCCAACTCATGCTCAGTACTTTTACAGGTGATGTGACATCCCTTCTGGGCTGTAATCTTTTTTCCTCTGGTTATCTTACTCAATAAGTTTCTGTCTCATTTGGGACTCATGACTTACACAGAGACAGAAGGCATTCTGAAACACAAGGGTGATGGTGTAACTTGAGCACAATCACAGGAGCACCCAGATCAAACTGCTGCCTCTAAACCAGTTCTGATTCCTAGGAAAGACGGGAGTCAAAAGTACATCTGTTCCCAGAGGATTCCTCAGATGACATGGCTTGTTTCTGTCCTGGTGAAGATGGAAAAGAAACTCCTATACCTAAACATTGTATATTTTCTGGGAAGATCAGACCAAGAGCATGCCTAGAGGATTGGCTGTTGTCATTAAAACCAAAGTCAGGTTTCTGTCCTTGGTGATCTCAGGAGTGGTGGATTGACCTTGGCTGGGTTGACCTCACCCACAAAGCCTCTCTGTCACTCGCCCTCCTCAGTGAGCAGTGCCAGCACTGCTCAGCAGCAGCCAAAACACTGTTGTGTTTTAAACACCACTCCAGCTACAAATAAAAAGCACAGCACTATGAGGGCTACTAGGAGGGAAGTTAACTAACACACCATTAAAATACACTGTGTTTTGTGAAAGTAAAAGAGTATGATTGAATTGTTTATCCTGACACTTTAAATGGCTTTTGAGTATTCAGCAGTTTATTTGGAAACAGAAAAAAAAAGTTTTTGCTGAGCTTTTTGTGCCTCTAGTGAAGAATATGTCCTCTTAAATGCCAGGAAAAGTGAGTTAGAACAGGATGTTCCTAGCCCTTTATGTTGTGCCTTTGGCATTCTCCACTTACAGCATGTTAGCTGTGCAAGTTGAATTTGTCCTTGAACTTTTTCAACCTAAATGATTCTATGACTCTCTAGGGAAGTATAAGTTAGAAGTTGTGATACTTCAAAATATTAGGATGTCAGACATGATAACTTTGTTTTAGGAATATGTACTTGAAAAATCTGATCCTTGGAATGGCTGTGCTGTAGCACAGCTGATTTTGTTTCAGTGACATAACTTCAGTTTTACAAAGATAATACCCCATATCAGAATTCCATCATCTGTCTGCTGAGAAGAACCACGTGGATATTTCTGTCTTAATGATTAAAGAATATTCCTAATGATCTTTGAAGAGCTGTTGTAATTTGACAGCAAGAAATTGTTCTGGCTTTTGAATATGTAGCAAATATTTTAAAGCAGGCTTTTAAGTGGTTTCCTTAGCAACCACTCTTCTTTAGAGATCAATGCATGCTAATAAGTATCCTGCTGGATTCGGATCAGCTTTGGAATATTAAAGGTACTAGTTTAAGACACTGCCAGGTCATGCACAACTCCTTGCTGTCCAACAGCCCTGGAGCACAGAGGGAAGCTCTCTCTGCCTGCCAGACATTTCTCCAGACAGGCAAGGACACCACCTCTTGCTGGTGATCTGCTATAGGCGTCCTGAGGGGTGGAGAAGCTGGCTGTGCTCACTATTGACTGCTGTCTCATCCAGCAGCCCCAGGGAATGGAGGGCTTTATTTCTTATTCATCTACCCTCCACTCCTACACCCCAAGAAAATGCTAGTGACTTGTGATTCCTTTTTAATAGAGGTATCAAGCACAGCTCTTAACTGAGCAAAGCCCATATTCTTTTTTTTTGTTCTTATATTTCAAGTGTCTGGGGCATTGCATAATTTATCTTTCAATCCCATATTCTGTATTTATGATCAATAGGAATGTAAAGCCATTAGTGGTGGAGAATCTGAGAGGTGTCATTAATATAAAGAAGCACCATCTTCTGCTCTCCTCCAAGGGTTTAGTTATGTATTCTGACTTGGATTGCCATCCCTATTTGCTATGAACATCTGGGATTTAAGGCAGCTTTAGCAGAACTGACCTAAGAATCTTAAAGAAAACAAATGCTGCTCATGGCAAATACATTTAACAGTGATCCTAATGGAGGGCATTTGCCTGATGTTTGTCCCCAGCCCTGTGAGAGCCTGATCAGATGCCTCAGCAGTGCTGGGGTCTCTGGGGGCAGACTTATCATTGTTTCTGGCTGGAAGTTTAGAGATGGTTCCTGCTGCCATAGAGTAAAAAGGAACAAGAATAATTTTCTCCTGATGCCTCCCCACTGTGTGCCTTTGCTACCTTGCTGCAAAGCCTTTATGTGAGGCTTCTCTCAGAAACTGTTGAGCCATGGAGGCAGACCATGTTCAGCATTGAGTAGGGTGAGTTCTTTTGTTCTACCCTTGCACCTACGAGGTCTGGGTTTCTGAGTGTGGTGGGAAATGCCAAGCTTACCGATGGACTCCTGAATTAATTAATTAATCAGGATATTGCTTTGAGAGACAGGCAGCTTTTCTGTCTTCTGTGCCTGAGCTAAAAATTGGAGCGAGTATTCAAGAGGGAAGAAGAGGGGCTGCCAATGCCCAGGTCTCTGACAGTCACTGCATTGTTGGTCTGAAATAGCCCATCCCTGTTGACCTTCAGAGCTGGACTGTGGTGACCTTTTTGGGGCAACTTGGAAAATAGGGTACTAAAGCAAGATAATTGCTAACAAGCATCCTTCAAGAGATTCTGATACCTGTATTTCTTTAGGTAAGCCTGCTCTGTAGGAATAGCTTCGTGTTTGGCTTCATGCTTTTCTTTCTCTAACTCTCAAGAGAAAGGCTTTTCTAGAACTGGCACAGGAAAAGAGTGTTTTTTGAAAGTAGTTGCTACTTTGCATTTGTGGTTTTGAGGGCAGAAATCAGCAGAAATTTCTCGAGGTAGAAATCATGCAGAAGTCAGCTCATGTGACCCAGCCTTTGGCATTATTGTACTATTTCCTGTTGATGCTGTATTCATCTTTGCTTACTTGTTAATCCAACCACTGCCTGCTATTATAGGAAGGGTTACTGCTTCATCCTAAGAGCAAATAGGAAGAATAGGATAATAGGCATTCAGTGTTGTAAACCCATGCCCCTTTCTGTAAGACAAAAACTGAGGCAATATTCAAATTAAATTACATGTTTGTAAAAAACCAAAAAGCACAAGGCCCACATGCAAAATGAAATCCCGTAGCATCATTTTGTAATGCAGATAATTTCACGAAATCTTGTGTTTACAAGTGAACCTGTGAACTTGCAGGGCAGGGCCTGACACAAAGCTTATGGGAACTTCTGAGAATCCTCATCTTGATTTTAAGGAGGTAAACACATCTTGATTCAGTCTGTCACCTATTATATTCTGGGCAAGCCTGGCCCAGGTGTAGTCCTGAATGAATACTGAAACACTGGAGGTTATTCCACCAGGTGGGAAAACCTTAGTAAACAAACAGAAGTGTTCCCTCACAGATTCCCACAGGTCCTAACTCCACATGCCTTAGATCTCTGCTCCCGGAGACACTTGTGAGCTGCTCAGCCCATTGGTCTTTGCATTTCAGGCAAATCATTTTGCACAGTTGTATCTGTGCATGATTATGTTCTCTCTCCCATTTGGGGTTTCAGGTTGCCCCCAGCCTGTATTTAGGATCTCATCTTTTTCCATACCACTGCGAAATGACCGTTTTTCCAATATGGCCCATACATGGTCCATGTATTGAAATAAACAAAAGCAGGTTTTATGCATGGTACCACAAATAGGAAAATGCATGAATGAGTCAGACCACAGTTAGATAAGATCTTGGACATAGGGAAGTGCAACCATTCCTTAGCAAAACATGGTGCTGTCAGGCACATCCCGTGTATCTTGCTCAGCTGTAAGTATATGTTATACTGGGCACTCTACTCTTTCTTTATTCCAGCCTGTGCTTTTATATAGTGTTTGCATTCACAAGCCATGATGCTTTTTCAACAATCTACTTCCATGGGGAATTAATGACATTCAGTGTTTTTTTCCAGAACCTACTTTTTTTCTCTTTTAGTGGGGGCCAAGGAAGGAGGATTGTCTCATAGCAATAAAATAAATGGGAATTTTCTTATTGACACCAGTAAAGTTTTTACTGTAGCACAGAACCACCCAAAATGTTCCATGAAAGTACATTTAACTTCTATTAAATCTCCCCCTTCTCTGGCCCCATTCCCTCCCTCCCTGTGACCATCATGCTCCAACTATGGCTGGCCAGAGTTCTGTCTTACGCAGAGCACAGTGCGATGCAGTTGCACCCTGCCAACTTGTTTGAGGATTTACAAGGTCTGTTTTTAAATGCCCTTGCAACAAACAAAACCCTGTACATATTCTCCTTCTGTCCTAACAGCTGTTAATCCTAAATCACAGTGTGAACAGCGAATGAGATGCTGGAGTGCATCTTTTCCAATATGCTCCTTTACATCTGGGCTGAGAATGCAGAGCCGGAGTGGAGCATCCTTTCCACATGCTGCAGCGTCCATAAGCAGGCTCTGGGCAGCTGGGAAGGAGACCCAGCTGTTCCACAAGACATCTCTGAAGGGGCTGATAACCAGTACTCCTGGCACACAGGAGACATGGATCCCTGGTCTTAATTTCAGGGAATCCAAAACCAGAAGACCAGCAGTGAGGGTCAGCATTAATACCCTATGCAAGGTGAGTTGAGTTACTTGCTCTTTCTGCAAGATTTATGCCTCCTCTTCTCCACAGGCACCTCATCCCGTTTTCCTTTGCTTCAGCACTGAGGTCTCTTCTTACCACAACAGTCACAATGTACCTGTTTCTGAATTCAGCATATTACTGCATGAACCTTTGGAAAAGCAGCACTTTTAGATTTCTTCTAACTAACACGTTTTAAATGGCATGTTATTACATGTTGCTTATCACTTGTTGACCACAAAGGAACACTTGACCTTTGCCCAAACTACATTCAAAATATTTGACAAAGCCATGCAAAATATTTTCCTTTTTTCTTACTGAAATTTCATAAACATCTGACTAGAAAAAACATGAAGGAGATAGATGTGCATGATAAAATTTCACTTAATGTAGACAGTATGTTACCACCGTCCTTCAATGAATGTTTTGATGCTTCAAGGCTGGAATAAAGAAAAGGCAGAGTGCCCAGTATAACATAGCATACACCAGCAGCAGCAAATTTAATTTGTTTGTCTCAAAGGGCAAGGTAATACACTTAATTCTGTAGTGCAGCAAAGTCTAATTTCACAGACCTCAGTCTATGACAGTGAGAAGTCAGCAAACTGGCAGATGGCCCAGCTCCTTCTTGGGCACTTTCCCAACATGTATAAATCAGGGAGGGGTGTAGCAGTTGCAGGTGGACAATCCAGCTGACAGGACAGACCGTCAGCTTCTTTGAAGGCAAACACAGCGAGTAGCTGTAACTCATCTGGTAGCTTTATGTCTGTGCATGCATCTACATAATAACAAAATGGATTCAAGTGAGTAGAATATCCAATGAATGAAGGCACAAGCAGCTTTAACAAATGTTCACAATGTCATTTCCAGTATTTTAAGACTCATCCATATATCTGAATTCCATTTCTGCTTTACTCTGTGACAAATCTAAACCAGCATATTCCAGAAAGATAGAGTTAATAAGCTGTAGAAAAGAAACAGGGAAACATAACCTGCAGCAATGTTTTATGATGGTAATTTGTAAGCTGGTGTTTTGATTTACACCTTGATAAAAATTTAATTGCTTGACACCAAGAAAACCTGTCTGTCATGCTGTGCAGGTGTTTATCTGGAATGACTAGATTGCTGTGGAATTTTCAGGTGATTTACCCATTTGGTTTTACTTTCAGCCTCGATGGATAAAAATGTTGCCTTTTGATTCTTACATTGTGTCTCTCTTGGGTGCTAAAGGAAAAGGTCTGATTAGGATGTTGCTCTAAGGGGACCTCCTTGTACCTTCTTCTGGAGAACTAGGGCCTTTCATAGGACCAGGCTGTGCTGGCTTTGGCTGGGGTAGAGTTAATTTTCTTCACAGTAGCTGGTTTGTGTTGCAAACAGTGTTGATAACACAGGGATGTTTTAGTTACTGCTAAGCAGTGCTTACACAGAGCCAAGGCCTTTTCTGCTCCTCACCCCACCCCAGCAGTGAGCAGGCTGGGAGTGCACAAGGAGTTGGGAGGGGACACAGCCAGGACAGCTGACCCCAGCTGACCAGAGGGATATCCCACACATATGGTGTCATGCTCAGCATATAAAGCTGAGGGAAAAAGGAGGAAGGGAGGGACATTCAGAGTGATGAGCGTTTGTCTTCCCAAGTCGCTGTTACGCGTGATGGGGCCCTGCTCTCCTAGAGATGGCTGAGCACCTGCCTGGCCATGGGAAGAAGTGAATTAATTCCTTGTTTCATTTTGCTTGTGTGTGGAGCTTTTGCTTTATCTATTAAACACTCTTTATCTTAACCCATGAGATTTCTCACTTTTACCCCTCTGATTCTCTCCCCATCTTATCAGGGAAAGGGAGGGAGGGAGGGAGGGAGTGGGGCTGAGTTGCTGATTGGGATTAAACCATGACACAGGTGCAGAATTACAAACGCAGGACCACAGTCGTGCATTGAGACACCTTTTTATTCTGTGCCTTCCTACCTGTTCAGCAAGTGTTCTCTGGCTAGTCTGAAGGTTGGTCCAGTCATTGATACTTCACCAAAATGAGACAGGCAGGTTTCTCTGCAATCTGAGGGCAAAGCAGTGCTACAGTCACCCACCGGACAACACCAGCTCGTCACCCACCTCTTTAAATGTGCTGCAATCAAAACTGCAGTTTATGGGAAGTGTTTGATGGGAATACTGAAGACAAAAGTGCCTTAATGAGGAAGAAAGCAAAAACCACCTAAACGCCAGACTGAGGGGTGTCTGAGTATTTACAACTCGAACACATCTTGGGCAACAGAAAAAGCTGGGGTTGAGGTGGCAGGTGGACTTCAAGTTATTCTAATGCCCTTTCCCTGAATCATTACATGGGCAACAACCTGGCTTCCCACAGAGCTATCCTCCTTTGTGCCCTTTTCTGTATAGGGCAGCCAACCCCTCCTCTGTTGGAAATGCAACATATTTGTAAATGCTTTGCCCACTGACAAAATTACTTTTGTGTCTTGCTGCTAGTCATCAGGACCAGCTCTGAACTCAGCAGTTCTTCTAAAACGTGTCTTCATCTGCCTTCCTCGTTCCCAGCGAGCACCCAAAGGACACATTAAATATAACCTCAGACTCTGGTACAGAAATACATCACGAAACATGACCCTCAGGTCAGTCAAATAAGTTGCATTGCAATTCCCATTGCACTGATTCGTATTAGAAAGTATTTCCCTTTTATTGAAAAGACTCCATGAATGCCAGCTCCAGGAAGAAAAAGAGCCCAAAGCACGAGTACCAGCCAAGTCCTGCTGAGCTCTGCAGCCCATGGGTGACAGGTGTGTCTTTGCTGTTGTGTCCCGTGTCCAGCCGGGGCTGTGGTTCCCCCCACTGGCAGCTCTCTTAGGGATCGGCTGTACAGTGCCACAGGAGCCAATGACTGGAAACCCCATTTTTGAATTCCCAGCTTTGGTTTGGTCTCTGAGGGAAGCCCACAGGGTGGATCTTGGAGGAAGAAGTAGTGCTGCCCACAGGCAGGAGCAGCTCAGGTATCTGGGTTCCCCAGATATCCCATGCTGAGCCAACTCTGCTGTAGCAGAACCTTTGTGTCGGGTCTCCACCTGTGCATGGGGAAAACATTGAAAATATTTCCTTCCCTGGACTGCAGACCCAAAGCCATCCTCAAAGGCACAAGGAGGCTGGAATACCATGCAAATCCCTGGAGATGTACGTTTGACCTAGAAGCACAAAACCCAGTACTAGCAAGTAGCAGTCTAAGGACAGGTGAGTGCAAGATGCTGTATCACCTGTGAAGAAACTCCTTGAAGGTCACAGCTGCTGCACAAAGACCTCTGGGTGCAGGCTTTCTGGTCTAGGGAGGCATGTGTAGCATCTGCATACCCACACAGCTGGCTCACAAAGACAAGAGAAAGCTGCAGTTAGCCAAAAAAAGTTGCTTGGATGGCTCATCTTCTGCTGCCCACTTTATGGGAGAAGGGTGGAAAACAAAACTCCCCAGCGAGTAAAGTAGCTGAAGAAACAACATCTGTAGCATGCAGCAGTTTATAAAGTTGATGATACTCTGGCAGAAATTGAATTTTTCAACTCCTTAGATGGGAAAAGGACTAAGATGGTAATAGTAAGTTGATTTAAATATCCCAGAGTAATTACCATGTAAGAATTGCCTTCCACGCTGTGACACTAGTCTGCCTTGCTGGAGGAATGAAATAGCTGAGACTTGCTTTTCTGTAGGGTCTCCCTGGAGAGCTTGTACGGCAGAGTAAGCTCTCGCAGTAGCTTGTTAACATGGGACAAAAAGCAGCATCCTTCCTCCTCAGAGACCAGGCTGCATGTATTTGTATTTATTTCCCTTAATGTTCACCAAAGCTACAGGCAGTGTACTTGAGCCGTGTGACCCCGAAACTGGCGCCCCGAGGCACTTCATTCTTTTCCCCTCCTATCTCGGGAGTTCTTCCCGCCCCGAGAGGGTGATGAAACAGCGTCAGCTGAGATTTAGTTCTCGCTTCTCCGAGCGCGGTGAGCGCAGGGCGAGCCAAAGGCTGCTGAGGACCGGGATCCGAGCGGGAGCTCGGAGCTGCCGCCGCCTCCCGGCGGCCCGAACGCGGCCCTGCAGCGCCCGTCCCGCCCTCGCTGCCGCCGCCCGGTGGCAGAGAGGCGGCACTGCGGCGTTGTCCTTGTCCTGTGCCTGCTCCCCGTGCGCCTGCTGGAGTTCTTGTCCTGCCGTTTATTGCCTGGCAGAAGACTGACCCTCACTTCGCTACAGCCTCCTCCCAGGTAGAGAGTGAAAAGGTCCCCCCTGAGCCTCCTTTTCTCCAGACTAAACATCCCCAGCTCCCTCAGCCCCTCCTCCTAAAACCTGTGCTCCAGACCCTTCACCAGCTCCGCTGCCCTTCTCTGAACTTGTTCCAGCACCTCAATGCCTTTCTTTTATTGAGGGGCCCAGAACTGGACACAGCACTTGAGGTGCGGCTTCACCAGTGCTGAGTGCAGGGGGACAATCACTTCCCTGGTCCTGCTGGCCACACTAGTTGTATCCTTCCTGATCCAGGCCAGGATGCCATTGGCCTTCTTGACCGTCTGAGCACACTGCTGGCTCATGTTCTTCAGCTGCTGCCAACCGGCATCTGCAGGTCCCTTTCTGACAAGCAGCTTTCCAGCCTTCTGTCCCCTGCCTGTTGCACTGCATGGAACTTTTTCGATCCAAGTGCAGGACTCAGCACTTCACCTTGTTAAACCTCATACCATTGGCCTTGACCCATTGATCCAGTCTGTCCAGATCCTTCTGCAGAGCCTTCCTGCCCTCCAGATCAACATTCCCACCCAACTTGGTGTCACCTGCAAATTGACTGAGGGCGCACTCAATCCCCTCATCCAGATCATTGATGAATTCCTCCTTGTCCCTTTTAAAATTTTCTTGCAAGGTCTCCCTCTAAGCAGTTCAATGTATTTTTAAATTCTCACTATGTTTCTTGTACCCTCTCACTTTTTATATTCTTTTTTTCTGTGTTGGGTTCATGTGTCCAGGTTTTGGTAGCAGCAGAGGTGCAGGGGTGGCTTCTGTGAAGACATCAGGAACTGTCCCTGTGACAGACAGAACCAGTTCCAGCAGGATGCAAAAAAGATCTGCCACTGGTCAAAGCTGAGCCACAGCTCTCCAGGTGTGGCATCACCAGTGCGGAGTAAAGGGGAAGGACCTTTAAAACTTTGCTACTACTCTAAACAAAGTGGCTTCCTCAAATACTGTAAGAACCAGAGCTATTCCTGTCCACTAGCCCATCAGACCAGCCCATGAGGGAGATGCCTGGTGACTGGAGACAGAAGAACTGAAGGTAAGCTGTGCAATGTGGTTTTTATGCCCACCATGTCAGACAAAATAAGTTCCTGTGGTCAGAACTGGTTATATGTTCTCCTGAGTTTGAAAGATACGTGTGAAGTAGTTCTTGCTTCAATTACTACTGTCTAGGATCTCTATTTCTAGCAGAAAGGCTTCATGGGAAAATAAACTATTTGTCTCCTTATAAGGTGTTGTCACCCCCACCTAAGAATAAATGTGGTTTCATAATTCAGAAGCCGGGATGTGTTATGTAGCTCCCTGTAAATCTTTGGAAACATAGAGGAAGCAACATCTCCTGTCTTCTCCTCTAGCTTTGTCCATTTGCCGTGAAACTGGTTAACTGCTTTGAGATTTTGTCTCTAGCACCCAAAATTACTGGCCTTTGCATCAGTTTCCTAAATGTGAAGGGGTTCTGTAGTGTCTTTTTCTAGTAATCATTATGTAAGATAAGGACAGTGGAAGTACCAGAAACTTTCCTGATCTCAGCTTCCCTAAATCAAATCAATTCAGTCCCAAGGATCTTTATACAGGTTACAAGGAAGGAGAAGTCACTACCCTTATAACACAGCACAGACAGAGAGAAGGTCACCTGTAAAATCACGGAGAGCTGAGACTGAACAGCTCAGTCAACACTTCAGGGTATGACTGTTTGTTTTTAGAAAAATGGGGAGGAAGAGAGTCTTGTTCAGTCTCATCCTTTCAGGTTTCCAGTCTAAACAAAACGGATTTCTATTAATTCTATTTAAATGATCAAGCTTTGAATAACACTTTCTTACTGCTACATGTGTCAAAGATATTTTTAAGTGTTCCTAAGAAATGTAACCTTCTGGTACCTTTTTTTTAAAAAAAAAAGAAACCCACCAGTGAAAACTATCAGTTCCTGCAAAACCAGACTCTTTTAGAGAAACCTGCAATTTTTTTTATACACAGACCATACAAACTATTATCAAGTAATCAACAGAAACCATGTTTTATTTAACATATACTTTTTAATCCAGCAGATAAAACCAAGAAACTTTCTTTATAAATCTGGCAGTACTGTTGGGCCTTTCTTTCTTTGGAAGATCTATGCAGTCAATTTATTTACACATGTTTAACTTCTGGGTAGAAATTATTTTTAAGAATCCAAGCAAGACTATTAATTTATTTTAATAAAAGGAAAACTCAAGAGACTGCACTAGCTTTTGTTGCTTTCTGTAACTGAGATTCTTTTTTTATCTAATATTTATGAATATACTGCACAACAAAATCAGTATTCTTGTATAACTTATTTATGTACTCCATATTTGAGGAAGGAATTATCAGCATTTTACTTAATATCTGTACCAAGAAAATTATCCCTTCCAGATGTAAAAAAAAGCAATCTTCCCTTTAATTTTAGCTGTCATAAAGCATACATAATACACATTATCCCCAAATTTCCCTTTGCTTTTACCTTGCAAGCAAAGTAAAACACAAGCTCTTTGTTTCAAATTCTCCTCTCTCCTTCTCAGATAACTCCTACAACTGTTTTTACACTTCCAGTTTAGCGAATCTTACAGACAGGGTAAATCTACAGAAATAACTTGCACAGCAAAAAAGCAAAACCAACTCTGCACCTCTGCAGAGCAAGCTAGATCCTGGTGGCCTGCTTCCATGGCAAATTCACTTCAGTTAGCTTTATACCTAAAAGCCTCTAATTTAGGGAAAAAATATTTAATTTTGTTATCTATAACTCTTTACTTTTGCCGACAACAAGCAGCTATTAAGGAATAGATTAGTCAAACCTAAATTTCATCTGGAGTAACATAAGTCAAGAGTTCATGTGTAATTTAGGCAGAAAAAAAGCATGGTCCAAGTGCTTTGCCAGGCAGTGTCCATTCTTGGTGAGTATATGCTTTTCCATAGCACTATTACAGCCTATTTAACGTTCTGCTTTTGATTTTGCTTCAAATTTACATTATTTAGCTTGCCCTAAATATTTACACCACAGTGTAAGTCAAGACTCAGTCAGCTGTATGCCTCATTGACAATATTTTCCTTAGAATTCTGGCTGGCTCCCTGTTGTCCTATTTTCTTGTACGGATATAGCTTTCTTCCTTTATGGGTCCTCGTTAATTAAAAATACTTCGAATAGTTTGAATCCCACTGTAGCAAAACATTATGGCATAACACATAAATTATGAAGAAAAAAACTACTGCTAGCATGGATCACTTCCCAGCATTCCTAATAACAGGGAGCAAGCACACTGCATTTCTAGCCCCTCTCACCTCTTGTACTGCCTGCTGGGGCCACAGCCTTTCCCTGCAGCTCTTCCCCTGCCCCAGCAGTGGGGAATGGGAAGGGAAGGGAGCTTCCCTTCCTTGGGAGTGGTCCACTTGTGCCTTCTCCCCCAAAATCCCCATCCCCTTCTGCTGCTGCTTTGGAGGGTGGGCTGGAGAGACTGTGCACAGGCAGAGCCAAGGTACTAAGAGTACTGTGGTTGAAAGAGCAGAAAGCTGTTTAGACAAAAATAATTGTCTCTTAGTATAAGTACAATTAAATTGCTCTCTGTGGGAATAGAGACCAGATGTTATATGCTGCCTCTTAATTTTTTACTTGTGCAAATTAAACAGGATATGGGGACAGATAGTGCCTGTGCTCCATAATCCTCTGCTTTTTTAGATTATACTTCAGTGGATTATTCAGATTTACCTGAATAATAATGTTTTAGGGCATTTCTATGTATTCTCTCTACCTTTTTCTTTGTTATTTTCTTAAGCAAATGATTGAATACCAAAATTTTATTTATCTCTCTGTTTCTCAATTCTCTGGGTTTTTTTCCTGATATTTGATAGAACAATCTAAAATTTATCCATAAAACTGGTATTGAGTTTTCCTGAAATTGGGATATCATGCATCTTTTTATACAAGCTTGTTTTAGCTCATTATGCTTTTCTGAAAGCTCTGATTCTTCTATAAAAGATTATTTTGTAGAAGAGCCCTAGTGAGGTGACTGACCATTTTCTTTGTCAGTTATTTCCCACCAAATTTGCCTATGGTGCAGGTTAAAGTCTCTCCCCCTCTAATGCCAACTCAGCCATAGTTAATCATGCAATTTAGTCTGATGATAATTTATTCCATCTAATGATGCATGAGATATAAAAAGCCCAAAGGAGGAGTTTGGGGAACTGGAAATGAGGAGGGGGAAAAAATCCCAAACCAAACATTCCCACCTTTTTTCCTTGCAAACTCAGCATATCTTATGCTGAAATTACTGAGACACCATGGAGCCCTGCTTTTTTTTTTTACAGTCTCTTGGTGCTGGAATCACACTTTAAATCATTCTCCAAAAGCATGACTTAGTTAACACTTCATTATGCAAGAAGATTTCCACTATGCTGTAGTTGGCAGAAAAATCTGACTTTCCTCATGCATTTTATCCAGCACCCACTTCAAATTAAGAAAATGAGACTTTAAAAGTTTTTGTCTAAAAGGCATGTGCCTGAATGTCTATTTACCCAATCATCAGATGTATGAGGCCAGTATGTTAAAAATATGAAAGATCAGTTAAATTAAGATATTTCTGTCATTTTTTTTTCTCCTTTCAAGGTATAAGTATTTCACCGTACAGCATTATTTGAAGAGTAGCATGTTTCATCTCAAGGATCATGAATGGCTTGCAGTATAATTTTACAATGTGGCTCGTTAAATTAATTTAGTAAGTGGAGAGCATGGTTATTTGCTCACATAAGTGTTTTCAAATTGCAGGCTGTAGACTACCAGGTGTCTGAAGTGTCACAGGAACTGGCCCGTCTGTAGTCCCAGGGCCAAATCATCTCTTTTGCAGCTTGTATTAAGATGATGGGAGCCTCCAAAATATTTGAGGGTAGCAAGTGGTGTAGGAAATCTGGCAGTCATAATCTTAGTGGAAAATTCTTTTTCAAAAAGCAGAAAATAGACTTAGCACTAGAATAATACTATATCCAGTCCCCGACAACATTCACACTCTCGTAACGCTGGAATTCAAGCTTTTAAAAACGTGTGGATACTTACGGGTGTTTTTTACAGCTGAATCCCAAACCCTTTATTCAATTTTTGCTCCTTTCTTTAAGCAAGACTGCAATTTGCAATATTTTTTAAATTCAAACAGTGAGGTTATGTGCTAACATCTGATCCCATCTATTTTAATTTTGTATCCTTTTGAGATACAAATTTAAGTTGAAAAAGAGAGATCCTTCTTAAATGGATAAACACCCTTGCCATGCTTAAAATAAAAGAGGAGGAAATAACAACCCAGAACATTGTCATCAAAACCAGTACAGCTGCACTACCAGAGCATGTAAACCTTTATTTCTGCACCTAAGTCTTCTTTTTTGGATCTTTTTCAGCTAAATACAATGATTTAACTAAAGAGACCTCAGTGCACTTCAATAGGCATAGGCTTAGGCAGAAAGACTTCTCAACCCTGGGCTCAGATCTGTAATAATTTCCTGACAAAGAAATCACAGAAATATTTTACAGGAAGTGCCATCCATCAAGAAGTCATCTAGTTCACTTCGCTACTGTAAGTATTTTTAGATCAATTTATATAAAATGTTGAATAAAAAGTGCAGTGAATGTTGTAGAAAATTCATGCTATTCTCATATAATTTATTTTTCATCATGCTAACAACACACAGCATTTTTGTACCTCTGATGTGACTGGGTATCAGAAAATATTTGTAAATCTCATTTTTTATAACAGTCAATATTCAAAATGAGACCATTTTTAACAATAACTTGAAATACCTCTAATTTAAAAATATCATATTATACTTTTACAAACTGCCTATACACATAGGAAAGAACAACTAAAAGATAGCCTCCAGTCTGTATTTAATTTGAAAAAAATGTATTTTACATTAAATCAGGCTGTTAATTGATTCCATCTTTAAAATCCTCATGACAATGCAGATCCTGATTTGAAAACTGACACTCCCTCCAAGAAAGAAACCCACGTACTGGTACACACATTTCACACAAATTGAAAAGAAAGGCTGCCAGAAATGAAGCAGTAAGGATTAAGTTTAAATTAGGTTCAATTAATATGGCTAAGTTAAAATTTTAAGTAGCCTCTCTGTAGGGATAGTAAAAACTCAGCTGGACAGTGCCCTGAGCAAGGTGGTCTAGGCTGGCCTGTACGACTATTAATTCTGTGAAGAATGTAGAACGATTGAGTAATTTAGATTGGAAAGTACAGTCAGATTGCTTAGAGTCTTATGAATTCAAGTTTTTTAAATTTTCAAGGTTGTGGACTCCACAGCCTCTCTGGCAATGTGCAACAGCACGTAACACCCAACTCCATCCCTTCAGAGCCACAAAACTTCCATTTCTACTGCTCAGCCCATCCACTCTTCCAGCCCCATACACTTCCTTTTCACAATTGAACTGAGTTAGGAATTTCCTGTTCAATCAGTCTGGCTGCCTGCTGTGCACACAGGATGGACTGTCCTTGTGCTGGCCTCCAAGACTGACCAGTCTCTGTGGCCCTTTGCCCCTTAGAGCACCCTCCCATGAATCATAGCATCACAGAATGATTTGGTTTGAAAGGGACCTTAAAGATCATGTTTCCAACCCCCTGCCATAGGCAGGGACACCTCCCACTAGATGAGATTGCTCGAAGCCCCATCCAACCTGGCCTTGAACACTTCCAGGGATGGGGCATCCACAGCTTCTCATGAGATCCTGTCTGCCTGCTGCCTGAACAAGCTGAAGTTCAGAGTATTTAGTTTGCCACTGCTGCTTCTACTCTCTGCTTCTGCTACTACCAGCTCCCTTTGCTTTTGAGAAAAAATAAAATTCTAAGGGAAGAGCCAGTAAAGTAAAGCTCAAATTGTGCAAAACCACTCATTTTTTAAAATTGCCAACACTAGATTAGAGTTTTATCTGCTGCATGGTATTACATCCAGTTGCCTTCAGACTGTAAAGGTGGCATAAGCTTACTCCTTGTTTTTCCAAGTGTCAGTTTTCTTCAGGGAGAGAAAAAGGGGATGAAACAGCTGCCACTTTGTGACTATGATACAGGTGCTTATGGCCTGGGAAAGAGGAAAGAAGAAAAAGTGGCAAGTAAGATTCTCCATTCTTGTGTCTCTGTGCTTGATACAAGGTTATGGGTATTTAATTTTTGTCTGAATACTTTTATGCTCCTTTGAATTTCTAATACCTGAGATCTGTCAAGAGATGTACTGGCCACTCTTGAGCTGTAACACTCCTCAACAGTTTCTTTAGCAGCTTTCTCCACGGCATTTCAGTGAGAGTAGAGGAGACCTGTTTCCATCTTCCAAATGGAGAACCTCAAAAGTTGTCATCTGCTTTCTGTCATATGATGTGTCATGACATAATTCTAACTGCTTGCTCTTTTTTAACCCTCTCACGCTCTCTCTCCACATATGATATAGAGCTGTCTTTCCTCTTCTCTTCATTGTGGGTTTGTGCATTGCCTATCTCTCAAGTTATCTCTAGAGAGGAAAGTTTCTAAAGGGAAGACTTCACATATAATGTTCAGAGATTTGGTTCTCAAACTCCTCTAAAAATAAATGTGCTTTCCATGACCGTTGAAGGATCCTTTAAAAAATTCTCCATATGCGTAAATCTACTCATCTCAGGATTTGAAGACAGGTATTTTATTTTAAACAAGAGTCAGGCAATTAAAAAATTATCCTAATGCTGAAATTGCAGTGACAAAACTGGAATTTTATCAAGTACAACCTATTTGGGACTTACTTAAGTGACTAGTAAAGCATTTAAAAAGCACTTAGTATTTCAGGTATTTACATAAACTTTGATTGCACACTATAGAAGCCTTCCTGTTGTGGTTCCAGTAGAGCACAGTTATTTGATTTCATTCCTTGGGCAGTTCTTCTAAGGGTCAGTTTGCAATAGTTTCCCCATTGCTGGAGGAACCTGAAGGCCCTGAAGAAATCCTGATGCAGATAAGTGACCACATTGCATCAGGACTAATGCAACTTAACTGACTCCAGCTTCTCCAGAGCTACGGGCACTTGCAGGAGAACTGAACTCTGGTTCCTGTGATAAAAGCAAAATGTCAGGCAGGAAAGCTGAGAGACAGACATTTCTGCTGAGGAGAATCAGTTATTTCAACTCTAAACCCAAATTCAGTAATATTCTCTCTTGTGTTGCGGTTTTCCCTAAGGATCACCCAGTTTGTTGAAGGAATAACCAGTCTTGAGGGGGAATGGCTGAAGGTGGTATAGCAACATGTCAACCCCCTTTTTTCCACATTATAAATTCAACTGCCTAGGAGGAAACCACCTCATGACTTGGAATATTTT